TGTGTGTGTGTGTGTGTGTGTGTGTGTGTGTGTGTGTGTGTGTGTGTATAGATGTACCATGTGTATGCAATACCCATGGAGGCCAGAAAAGGCCATCAGATCTCTTGGGACTGGAATTGCAGACAGTTGTGAGCTGCCATGTGGGTGCTGGGAATCAAACCTGTGTCTGTTGTAAGAGCAACCAGTGCTTTTAATCACCAAACCTCATTTATTTATTTTGAACTGAGTACTTCTCTAGAAGAATGTCCTTGGATTCACATTCTGAAAATTGTAAAATGGATTTCCAGAAACTCACAGCCCCTACAGCTGATTGGATGATGAGCCACAGTTTAGTGCTCCTAATTTAGCAGTTTACTGCTCAGTGATGACTGCTGGCTGGAAGTTTTATGAAGAAGCAATTCAGTGCCTTAGTCACATTTATTAAAATAGTACTTATCTTCCAGTGGGATTTCATTGCTCCTGATGCAGACTCTTAAGGCACTGGCCTCTTATGACCTCAGTATCTTGTGCTTCCCATACTCTTCAGACAGCCCTCCACAACTCCATTATGTATATTATTTGGCATTACTTTTGATCCTTTGAGGTAGTCACTTTTAGCACAGGAAACTACTTTATGTTCTGTGACATTTGAAAACTGATGCATGACTGAAATAATCCGTTTTGACGTCTGTTTTTTAAAATCTACTCTCTACTGTGTATGTGTGGGTATTTTGCCTGTCTACCACTGTGTGCCTGGTGCCTAAGGAGACCAGAAGAGGGTATTGGATCCCCTAGAGCTAGACTTACAGATAGTTGTGTGCCACCATTCTAGTGCTGGAAATTGAATATGGTCCTCTGGAGGGAAACCCAGTGCTCTTCATCACTATGCCATCTCTCCATACCTAGTGTTTCTCTCTCAAAGCAATCAGTTCCCTTCAGTCCTTAGACCCTGGCTAACCCCTCATGAGTAGAATGCATCCCTCTGATGAGTAGGTGATACTATCCTTCATAGTCATCTCTTCATGAGATTATCTTTAAAAAATACCTCTTTTTATCATTTCAGATAACATGAAATGATAACTCCAGAGAATTCCAGCATTTTAGAATGTTGGAGTATTGAGATATTCATGCTTAGAGCCAGTGACCAATACTTTCCACCTTTTGTAAACACCTTTTGTGTTTGCTGCTGTTACTTTTAGAGACCTTTTGTACTGATTCAAATGTATGGATGGCAGTTGAATGAGATTCATAACTTTTGTGCTCACTAATACTTCTGAATTAGCCATATGTGTGCAGTAGATTGGATTTAAGATATGACACCTTATTGTTTGGATTCTGCACCGTGACAGCCTGGAGGTTGAATGGCCAGAGGAGCTCACTGGAGCTTGTGGTGGTAACATTTAAATATGTGTGCAGGAACTTCCAGTTTTCAGGCATGTGGATGCCCTAGTTCATTGTTTACTGTGTCCTCATTTGGGACTTGAGTTTCACCATGTTTTCTTGTATGTACACTGCCAGGTCGGTAATTTGGAAGATATCAATCAGGAGAGGCATTGCCAGTATCTGTTCCTCTTTCATAGTTTGTGTTCAGTGTAATCCCTGGCCTTTTGAACTTCTGCAGAATGGACAAGTATTGCTCTCAACAGTTTTCATGCATGCTGATGTCTTTGTTGGTTGTATGTTAAAAGCAGTCATGAGTTTTGAACTATAAAGAGGTAATTATTTTGATAAACATCAGAATCATAATAAAGTCTTAATTAAAAGTGAAAGGGTTGTACATAGTCAGACAAACTTCAAATGATATGACCTGAAATAGTCTGTAAACTAAATATTTTTAAATATTTAAATTACATTACACTGTAGAGAAACAGACCCTGTCAGGGGAACCCTGGTGTTGTGACAGAATGTTGGATTAAAAAATACAGGGCGGGCTGGAGCGACAGCCCAGCCATTAAAGGCGAGGCTCATAACCAAAAACATAAGAAAATGTAGGGCTAGGTTCATTCCTCTGTACCCCATCAAAAAGAAAAAAGAAAAATAATACATGATTTGGCCTTTTCAAAGACTTGTTTCTCCAGTCATAAAATGGAGATACCCTGGTATCATGGTGGACTCCTTTAACCCCAACACTAAGTTGGCAGAGGCAGGTGGATCTCTGTGAGTTCAGTGCCAGCCTGGTCTACATTATGAGCTCTGGGATAATCAAAGCTGCATAGTAAGACCCTGTTAGGAAAAAACAAAACTAAATAAAATGGAGACAATAACAATTCTCTTAAAAACACATGAAAACATTGAGCACCATATGTTAGTATTTTATTTTTGTTTGTTTGGGTTTATGTTTCTTTGTTTGTTTCTAAAAACAGGGTTTCTTTATGTAGTCCTGTCCTGGAATTCACTCTGTAGACCAAGATCTGGCCTCCTGAGTGCTAAGTGCAGGGATTAAAGGCACACACCACCCACCACCTGCACCTGACTAGTATTTTATTTTGCAGTAGACTATCTTTTGTTTATCCTCTGATAATTTTTCATACTTTTATAATTGATTATGTATAATTCAGTCCTTTTAGGATCAGACTGAAGGGGGTGGTACAGAGCAAGAGGAAGCAGACCAGAGAGCTGAGTGAAAGGTTGTGGATGGTGACTGGATGCATCAGAATCAGGGCTTTTCCTCTGCTCAGATAATCACTGACTACTTCAAATTT